CCCCCACCCTTCCCCCAACTCCCACCCACCCACCCACCTTCTTCCCTTCTCTGCCCTGTTGCTTACCTTACCTTTATCAACGACGGTGCGATGTAAATTATGCATTAGGATTTTGAAGCCTAGGAGTTGACATGACTAACGGTTTCCGACACTAAATTCAACTTGCGCGCGCGCGTGTGCTTGAGAGGACTGATCAAATCTCATGCAGCTTGATGAGCAGATAGATCATCAATAATGCAATAAACAGATGCCTCTCCCAAATATTTCAAATGTCCTTTTATTAGGGTTTTATTCATATCAAAGTACCTTTGCGTACCTTTTGGTAAAGGATATGAACTAATGCTGTACTAACGTGGAATACTTTAGCAGTCGTGTGGGTGATTGTGAGATGGCGAATAATATCATCTTGCTACAAGGCATTCGCAAAGAAAGAGCATTTAAGGTTTATAAATGAGTTCGCTCAGCGCTCTGAGAAGTCAACCTTAAAGATGTAGAGAAAAGGTTACGGGCATTATAGAAAACTCCTGTCGAATTTTTTATCGCGTAAGCCGCAGAAATGAAGAAGGGCCAAGTAGAGGTTAGTGTATAGCCAAACAGAAAAGGACTAGATTCTTAAATACATATGAAGATATACTTTGAAATTGCGAAATAAAGGGTGGCCTTTAATAGTCTCCGCTAATAACATTAAAAATTTCGCTTGTACGTTTATCTAAAAAATAGTACTTGTTTGATGAAAATGGTACGAAAATAGCAAGTTATGTAAATAGTAAATAGTGCATAGTAATGAAACCAAGAAAATTCATATTGCATTGAGAGGAAAATAACAAAATTTAGAGATATTATACAAGAGAGAGAGAGTCATATTGCCCGATTTAGATGACATATTAACGACGAAGCTTCAATTGATCCTCAAGTGAACAGGACTAGATACATGTACGGAGAGAGGGAGGGAGGGAGAGAGAGAGGATTTACTTTTACCAAAATGTAAGATTTCCTACATCACCAGTAGAAGCCTTGAGTAACTCCTGGATTGCCCAATGAATTGCTGCAATGATGATCCACCCATGGAAGGACAACATAGCAAAATAATAATGGCGACACACGGTTCAGAAGTTGAAAAGTGAAGTCCAAGAGGGAACATTATACTGCCCAGAAAGGGAGTCACATGTCAAAAAATGGGCGTGAAAATCAAAGAAGGGAAAGGGGACATCCCAGTGGCCTGATTCTTTGACATTAACTGTGTCAAAATGCACCATGACACCGTAATTTCCAACCTCCAGCCCCCNNNCCAGCCCCCCCCCCCCCCCCCCACCCTCAACTTTAGGATTTGAGATGTATCCAAACGTACATCAGCATAACCTGCTATCAGTGCTGTTTTATTTTTAATACAAATGTAAACTTTCTGGGCTATTGTAGTCGAAATAATATAAATATTTTCCAAGCCAAAAACAAAGAAGAAATTTTTATCTAACATATCTCGACGTGTAATGAAGGGCGATGAGATAATGTAAATTGAATGAATATTGGTCCTACCTGAATGGGTGTTGAACTTAGGTCATGACTTTTGCTTGCATTAAAGTGGTAAAAAGGTTGCGGATAAGGCGGGAAAAAACGAAAAAATACAAGCTTTATAAGATTTCAAAACTTACATTATATTCCATGGGTAAGAAGTCCGGATTCACCTCATTTTCTTCTTCACTTGTGCCTCGAAAATTTGTTTTTCTTGCGGCAACTTGGCCATTATCATGACTTGACGCTTGTTCATTCGTGGAATTGTTGATTGGAGGGTAATTGCCAACATGACGCTGCTTCTTCGTCGACTTCGTTGGTGAATAATTCGAATTCTGATAAAGACAAAACCGTGGTGGACTTCTTAGATCGCGATATCGATGATGGAAGGGATGTTGGTACCTGTAGTAATTTGAATTCATAATTTCATAACTAAGTTCATTTGGAAATTGTGGAAAATTTGGTAAATTTTGCAACGAGGACATAAATTGAGATAAAGCCTGCGAATCAACCGTTGGTATATGTGAACTAGAAGCTTGTGGTGGCGTATTGTTTTCAGATTCTGATGATCTGGAGTCTGTCCGTTTGTGATGTACACGTAGATCCAGAGGCGACGAATTATCTTCAACTAATTTTGCTTGATGCATGCAAGGAAAAATTGACGACATAAAATCGTTTCGTAGGCGCTGATGATCATCGTGGAGTACACGAATACTCTTCATAAGCTTTATCAAATCGGCGAATTGAGTTTTTGCTTGGTTGTACATTGAAGTCAAACTGGAATCACTAACAGGTCCAAGAAGTCGTTCAAAAGCTTCCTGGAGTTGCGTAAAACGGTCGTCATTAAGGAGTTTATTGCACGACATTGATAAGCTTGTACCTGGATCATGCAACCGAGTTGACTGTTCAAATTTTAAGCTCATTTGATTTGGCAGCGGGGGTGGAATTTGCGGTATTTGACACGATATATGGGGTTGGAAAGATAACTGTCTAGAAGTCCATCCAGTATTTGCACGAGGAAAAGGATTTAAATTTAAATTTTGAAATTGTATTTCAGGATTAAAGAGTAATGAAGCACTTTGAAGGCTATCCTTGAGTTGGGAATTTCCTACTTCATCATTTTGAGCCAGATCAATTGGATCTGTTGATTCATTTAATACTTCATTCGGAGAGTTTTCATTAGAATCGTTCAGTTTTCTTTTCTTTTCTGGAGAAGCGGTTCCATTATCACAATCAGAGGCTTGATATTTGTCAGCCAACAAGCTCGTATTCTCCATAATAGTTCCCGTTACGCCTATCAGCGACTTTGAGTAGCGCTATTTGAAATGCCACGGCTATTTTCAAGGTCAATAGTATATTTTAAATATTTCGATTTCAACATGAACCTACTTTATTTAATGTAATAAATATAATTTCATAATTATAATTTACACGTTAACGGAATATGAAATTACACTTATTATAAAATTGTAAGTAAAGCAAAAAGTATGTTAATCAAAATATTACATTCAGTTTCATATTTAGATTTTTAAAGTCATGCATAAAAAGATATATTAAAATGCTAAATATTTGACAAATTTTATTTCAAAGCATTTTACCGTAACTGTTACTTGTTAGATTGCTTAAAATTCCAGCGTTATATTCTAAACCTCTTTCGACTATTCTAGAAAAATTACGTATTAGTTTTCACTATCTTAAAATTTAACCAAAATCTTTGAATATCTGCTAGTATGTTATATGCGCATCCATAAAAAAACTTCATCGAAGATTTAATATGAACATTGAATATCTGCCATGAAATTAACAATAACGGTTTTACTTCGTCATTAATTTGCATTGCAATATAGTATCTATTATTATAGGCGAGAAGCGATTTCAGATACTAAGAGAGAGCTAATAGGTAATTCGAGTTTCTAATGCTTACGTTTTAAAGAAAATAAGCGAGTTCCAAATTACAGCAGTTAAGAGAAATGTAATTGGAATGGTAAATGTAAACAAAATAGATGGACTTGTGATGAAGTTCAACTGTCCAACATCTGAATAAATTAATTTTAGAATATCCATTGTTGCATCGTTTTCAGAAAATTAGTGAATATTTTTAGTTGCTCATAAAAGCGTGTGTGCTTATTTATTGTGCTTTGATATAACGCGCGTTTTACGATTTCTTTGTTAGATTTCGTGATTCATAAAGTCGGGAGCTATGCATGTAAAATTACTTGATACTGCAATAAAAAATGCATTTTTTGAAAAACAAAATAACGTTTGCCGTGTTTACTCAAGGGTAACTTTTGACGATTTATAATCCTTCAGAAACAACTCTTGAATCTTAGAAAGCATTGCAACGAGTATGACCCTCCTACATTTTTAAGTGATCGCAACCTTATGGCTAAAATAGGAAGAAATATCCTAAACAACTATTACCACAAAGATCCTCTTACTTGTATTATTGCTATTTCTATAAATAAATTTAGCCTCTCAAATGTTCTCAATTGACAGGAATCATCGGGGTTACCCTAGGTCTCTATCTGATAGGAACAGGCATTTTCCTTCCTATAAAAGAAATATTAATATATACAGTAATACCAGTTCAAGAGAACAACGGGCACCTACGCGGGATTATATTGAAAAAGCATCATAATTAAACATTTGGTTAATTTTTTTCGCATAGGAAAAACCTGCTTGGTATAATGAAGGCCCTGATAATTTGGACGTCTTGATGGACTTCGAAGATATGAAAATTCCGCAGATCAATGATAAAGCCATTTATAAAATCGAATGCTCCGATACTTCTAAAAAGGGTATGATTATTTTAACTGAAAACATATTGTCAGAAATTTTTTCGGATTGTGTCAAATCAACTAACTCAGGTATGATTCAATACACCATAAATTTTGTAGATAATAACAGAAAATCTGACGCTTTGGAAACATTTGGCAAAAATTTGACTTCTCCTAGCGTAACCAAGCGTAAGGTGTTTACTTAAACAATATTTTCAGAAAAACAACTCAAAATTCACACACTTCGTGAAATTGAGAGTAGTTTAGGTATTCATGTTCATAACCAAAATCCCGCAAGCGATTTATCAGCATTTAATAAGTTATTGGACATTGTTGGTCTTCGAACCAATTCAATATTAGACCATGAGGTAACTTTGTTTCGATAGGTAAAGGTTTTTCAGCCTAAAGTATTCAGAACAACACTTAAAGGTGATCATGCAGATGGCGAAAATGCCAGTTCATCAAAAAATAGCAATTCAATGCTAAATGAAGCCAATTATACTCCTTCTAAAACTATTAACGGCTATGCAAAACGTTATTCGTCATATTTGCTAAATCGTACGAATTTGGGAAATGTAAGTTTTGTATTTTCTTTTTAATTTATGCTTACTCTTCTCTAGACTTTTAGATGGTACAGAGCCATGGTAAGAGATTAAACAAACTGAGTTTTTAATTGTTATTAGGCCAATGCTGCTTCTGCAAATGCTTATATTTATCAGAATATCGACTCATTGAGTAATTTCGAGTCAGAGGCGCAAGGATCTCAGGATAATGGATACCCATATTTAGGCTACGATACTGAAACTAGGTAAGTTAAATACTTTTTGTGTCTAAGCAATGCATGCAGGCAATCATGTGAAATGCATGATTACAGCAATCAAGAATATTTTTATAGAAACAAATTCGGATTTCCTCCTAATAATTACATGGCTATTACCGCTAACGGATTATTTAATCAAATTGATCTTCCAAATAGTGGGAAAAGTCTTGGATGTCAATCTCTTCAACCATTTCTCTTGCAGCAGCTCCTACGCCAGCAGCAAATAGCAAAATGTAAGTTTTGACCATGACACGTTGCGATTTTGAACTATGTCAGACTCATCAAGCAAACTAATCTTGAACTGAGCAGAATAATATCATTTATGCTTAAAGGATTTGGGATTAGAGTTTGAAAAGTAATGCTACTTCAACGGCCCGACCATTGTGGTTTAAGATTTCAAGGGTACTTGGATTTTGCAAAAGATCAAGTTTGAAGAATGTGTTCTTGTTAAAATGAGTTGATAAATATTTTCTTTCAGAAACATTTATTTATCTGCGTACTTCAAAAAAATGCAAAAAAAAGATAAATAGATTTTTTTACATTCATATCTTCATTACAAAATTGCATTTAGCTAAGTCTGCCAACCATTTGTAGCTATTGTTAAACGAATCCTCCTTGACTTACTATTGGTAATCTCCTTAGCCAAATCCCCTGGTATGGAAAGTTTCCTGTAGTTAGATTATCTGTCTTAATGATAAAGAGATGGCAGACGTATGGCGTGGAACGCGTTTTTTAGGGTACTGTTTGTTGACATGGAGCTTAGTCATCAGGTACCGTTTTGAATACGCTGAACCTGCGACTATTATTGATTGGTCGAGAGGTCTACACTCATTACCTCATTTGCTCCTTAATATTCCAGAATGCTCGAGCCTAGACTTGTTCAAGTATTTGAATTGTCTACGCCACATACTCCCCTTAGCGGTGATATTTGGCTTCAGCAAATATTGATTTCTAGTGTTCGACACAGGCTGACTGGACTTTATTCCTTATTGAATCATAAACGATATTTCGAAATTGTGAGTGTGACTGGTACTATTCACAATGGCTCTCTCATGTCCGTGTTCTATCAATGTTAAAGTAATATGTTGCGTAGAGTTATGAGACTCGAATTTAAATTGCTCTTATTTGAAGACCAATGTATTTGCTTTATGCAAAGAAGATTATTTTAGATTGCTGAATATATTTAGGTCCCGATAAATTTAGTTAAAGACTCCATCGTAATAGCTTAGATAATCTATGTTCTAGTCAAGCTGTCTTATTCCGTAAATTGACATCGGGAAGCAGTCTACCGAGAGAAAAATAGTTCGCCGGGGTAATCGTATAAATTTGAAACAAATTCATTTATTAGGCATTCAACTTACTTCATTGAATAAATTGGTATTATCTTTGCATATTTTACCTGTTCTATTAATGTAGTAGGTGCTTATTTTACTCTTCAGATTCCGCAATGCGATTTCTTAATTTGCGCAATAATGGCTTAGGCTTTGTATTTGGATTTCATTCAACCCGGATAAATACACAATACAATTCTCAAAGTCAGACATACAATAATGTTTCAAATTATAATAATTACAATGCACAATTTACTCAAAGCGATAAACTGGAACAGCAAGAACAAGATGGATGCACGCTCTTTACGGAAGTTCCTGCAGAGAATGGGGAAAACACAGATGAAAATGGTGAGAATTCCTCTACAATCCTAGACCCCAAATCCACAGAAAAAATCCTCTCCTATTCAGGGGAAATTGCCTGTTAGTCCCGTTTGTTTGAGAGATACATGTTCACGTTCATTTTTCATTGTTCGCTTTTGAACTCTGTAATATGGATTTTGAATTACTTTCTCGTCTCTTATTTGGCTAATTCTTAGCATAAATGCGGTTGCTTAATCCAAGAACGAAAAAATCGTTTTATCCAAATATGTCCATGGTATTAAAAATGATTAATAAACGGAGAAGCTCAGATTGTTTGTATATTTAAATTGTTCACTAATCGCTCAAAGCACGCAAAACACACGATAAGCATTAAAAGGTACTCGCTGAAATAGGGAAGAGTGCAAACCCTAAAGTTAGGTGGCATTTTATTTGTGTCTAATTAACCGTCAATTTGATTCTTAATAAATTTCATGACAAAGGTCTCCGAAAATTCTCAATCGAAACGCGACCCATATCACAACCATGAATGAATAAGCACCCACTAACTTTTGCCAATATATTTGTTAACTTGTGCGTGGACCTGGAATCTTTGAGTTGTAGAGACAGCATATGCCAAGCCTTTATTAATATAGACCTTTTTTAAACCTTAGAAGGCTGTACATACAGTTACTTTGATTATAAGCGTAATCAGTGATAATGGATATTACAATGCTCGAACCAATCCGAAGACTTATAATAACTGAGAAAACTGATTGAAGTTTTTTCTAATGCAAAAAATTTAATAAGAAAAGCTTGTTTGTGAGAAAGGTAGTTATTATCATTACATATTGTTCGACATAAAAATCCATTTGTAAGTTGACAGCCTTGCCAAACTTCAAAGATAATTTTATGATGAAATCTGAACAAAGATTGGTAGGAGGCATCATCATGAATTGTGTTTTTAATCTAAATCTTACATAAAATATTCTAGACAAAAACAAGGCAAAGAGGGAATAGTTCAAAGGAACCATGTTTTATTAAAGCAGTGTAAATACTTTATAGGAATTAATAAAAATAATATCTGATACCAATAATGACGGGTTTTAGAAAGAAAAAGAATATTTTCTGTTTCGAAATAAAGAAAATATTGAGATTGAAAACCTTAATTCAAAAAACAATCTCTCATCTATGGAACAAATAACTTTAGAAGTTCTTTTATGCACAATTTAAAATTATTTTTTCATAACTAAACCAGAAATGTAGTGAATATAAGCGTTAACAGGATCATGACTGATGTTAAGGTTATCTAGCAATTGTGTCCTGTACGAACTGTTGTGCACAAGGAATTAACACAACTTTAAGTAAAAAATATTGGTTAGGATTGTCCAAAATATATACAATTTAATTAGATTAGTGGTTTAACTTAACATTCAAAGCCTGAGTTCCGTGCTCATAGATCTTAATGCTATGAAACTATAGTTTGCATTAAAAAGTAAAACAATTTGCTTAAAATGAAATTTATTTTAAAATTATGCATAGTTTTGTGCTAAACCGCTCCCTTAAATCAATCAAAAATTTTGAATTCAGTGTTTAAATGTGTCAGGCGAGGTCCTGTTGAGTTAGTTTCGATAGCCATTTTGGGTTGAATTTATTTTGCCGGTGAGTGTTTTCTGTGTTATAATTGAATGAAAGGGTTATTTAAAATTTTTACGTGCACAATCGATTAATTCCTGCTCAAAATATGTTTATTTGACATATTTTGACACATTTTGATTCCTTGAATAAATTTATGTTTTCATTATACTAATAGACAGTTACCTTGGAAAATAAAACGTCTTTGACTGTTTGCTATTTTGTTGTCATTGACTATTCGGGTTTTTCTCAGGAATCTTATATTAATAACTTATTACATAGATCTCATTTGGACATAATCCCTCATATGATGGAGGCGTCAGGCGTGAAGCCACGTGCTCCAAAGATAACTACGAATCAACTGGAATACATTAAAAAATCTGTCATTCCACCTCTGTTAAAACACAAACTTTCATGGCCTTTTGTAAAACCTGTGGATCACAAAGGTCTAAATCTTCCCGACTACCCCAAAATTATTCGGTGCCCCATGGATTTGGGATCTATTAAGCAAAGGTTGAATTTGGCCTATTATCGACGAGCGGAGGACTGTCTGCGCGATTTATTTTCGATGTTCCACAATTGCTACATCTTTAACAAACCAGGTGATGATGTGGTGGAAATGGCGCAGAAATTGGAGGAATTGGCCCGGGAGAAATTGAAAGCTCTTCCTACTCCCGAGGCTGAGATTATCAACCAAAAATCCATTACCAGCCGTCCTGCTCCATCAAATCTCTCTACCGATTCTAGTTTATCTATGTCTGCGATGAATAATGAGGGAGATATGAATGGTTCTTCCACATTAGTTCCTGGCCCAACCTCGTCTGCTACTGTCCCAATTCAAGCTCCTGTAAATAAAAAACCACCTAAAAGGAAATCTGATTCCATTGATGATGTTCCTTCAACTCCTCATTCAATTGATGAAGGTCGTGAGCGACGAGCGATCAAGCGACCCAAAGTAGAAGAGCGTGTACCAAACAGAAGAGTGCGATTGAGTGAATCTTTGAAACAGTGCAGTAATCTCTTGAAAGATCTCTGCTCCAACAGGCTTAAGGTAGGCTGTTTTTTTTCTATTTTAAACGCCACTTAATCTGGCTTTTTCTTTGCAGCATTGCAATGTAATTTTCTTAAAGCCAGTTGATGTGGTTGGATTGGGTCTTTCTGATTATTATTCCATTATTCAACATCCGATGGATCTAAGCACTGTTAGAAGCAAGCTAGAAAATGGAGAATATGCAACGAAGGATGATTTTGCTGCGGATATCCGCTTGATGTTTGATAATTGCTATAGATACAATGGAGCAGAAAATGAAATCGGCGCCATGGGAAAGGCCCTGGAAAGTGTGTTTGAGGAGGGTTTTGCTAAAATATCTGACGATCCACCCGAAGGAGTCGAGGGGATGTTTAACCACATCACCAAAGAGCACCAACGTCTTTTCACTCTTCTTTCTAAGGCCAGTGAGGATATGCAAAAATTGACCACTTCTGTTAACCATCTGATGACAATGATGAATGATCCCTCAGTTATTCAGATGCTTAAGTCTGCCAAGAAAGGTATGCTTTTTACGCGGGATCTTTTCAAGCTCTTGCTATTATTATTTTTCCCCTCTAGATCCGGTTAGTGTACATAATTCCACTGGTCTGTCCGGTTTTGACGATCATCAGACTAACAGAAAACCCAAACCTCCCCAGAAACCAAGGAGAAAACCTCAAAGTAAGTGCGACCGGCTGGGATATTTTACATATCTACCTCTTTAGGTATAGCTTCCTATCCGAATGCGGTTGCTGCTGCAATTCCTGCACCAAATTCTGCTGCGGGTTTACCCAGTGGTGCTACTACCGCTGCTATTCCAGTGCCACCGTATGGAGTTGATGAGAGCTTCGTTTCTGATGCCAACGCTCGGCCAATGACTTACGACGAGAAGCGTCAACTTTCCTTAGATATTAACAAACTTCCTGGAGAAAAATTAGGTCGGGTTGTGCAAATCATTCAACAGCGCGAGCCTTCTCATAGGGATTGTAATCCTGATGAGATTGAAATAGACTTTGAGACTCTCCAGCACTCAACTCTACGGGAATTGGAGCGCTACGTCAAAGCCGTTCTTCAGAAGGCCAAACCTGCTCGTAAGTACAATAAAAAGAGCAATTCCGGCAGCGGTGTTGGCGTTTCGACAAAGGATACCTTGAAAAAGAAAGACGAGCAGCATATTGATCCCCATTTGGGTCCCATGGAGATAGGTGGAAACGGTGTGTGCATTGTATTTCAACCGTTACTTTCTGTATTGTACAATTGTGTGACTTTCGCATCCTTTATAGAGCCAAACCGCTTGAGTGATTCGAGCTCAAGCGATTCCGAATCGGATTCTGAATCCAGTGGCAGCGAATCGGATGATTCTAAGGGGGATAGTGAGTCTACTTAGATGATATATCTCGCTCCCTACCCTTATTTGTCTGTAGGTGTTTAATCTCCTTTTGCCAATCTCTGTTTCTTTATCTCCGTGCCTGATGCGCTGCAATAAGTTGTTGACCCTCCCAATACTATATGTACGAAATTATTGTATCGGTGTCTGTCTCTTGAATGTCGCAATTTGGCATGTGACGTCACTTTCATGTAACTATACCTGTACATTATACAACACGTACCCACACCAAAACTATCGTGTTTATTCCTCCCTAACCCTTTTTAATTAACTTTACATATTGGCTCGCGCTTGCAACCACCTCTATTATCTCATAGTCTTTTTCCCGGTCGGAGGATTTGTATAAACCACCCCTTCTGCCGTAGCCTCCAGCCTCCCCATATTCTCAATGCATTTTTGTACAGATCTTTAAATCTCTTAATTAAAGAAAGCTTTGTCTTGCTTGCTGTCACGTATAATATGCTTGTAACATTATATTGCTGCTTATAGGTGACGGTGAGGGTGAAAGCCGGTCAGGTAATGTGAAGCCAGTCGTGATTGGTGTGTTACAGGGTCAACAGGGGTCCTCCGCATCCATGGCTACTACTCCTGTTCAACCTCCTCACGCTCCTTTGAAATTCACGCCTGGCAAGTCTCTCCCAACTGTCGTATCTAATACGTCAGCGACACCGTTGCTACAGCCTTCTAAGCAGGATTCCTCTGATACCGATGATGAGGACAATTGTGGTGAAAACGCCTCTGTTCTCCATCCCGCTTGGGTCACAAAGAAAGAAGAGCTGGGACCTATTGCTTCTGCTCCTCAGAAATCTCTTCCACCTGTTGCATCGGCAAGTCAACTATCAACTACTGACTCGCAATCCCCCCAACAGACAAATCTGCGAACTGTCGGAAGCGCCGGAACCTTCGTGAATGACGGGGACAATGCGCGAAATTTCTTGTCAACGAATCCAGCAGCTGCGCAAATTGTGCGTGAGGCCGAACTCCAGTCAAGATTGTCGACAGTAATTGCAGAGAAGATAGCAATAAAGGAGCGTGAGGAGGCGCTGCGAAAACAGCGAGAACGGGATGTAGCCGTTGCGGAGTCTAGGCGTAGAGAACAAGAGGCTAAAGTTCTTGAGGCTGTTAATCGGAAACAAATGGATAGGAAAATACGTCAGGATAGGGAGAAACGTGCGGTTAGTTCTGTGCTAATAGATATGATAATAGTTATGATTTTATGTCTGTCTAATTACTTGAATTAATTTCAATGTTGGGTTGCTAACGTCAATTTATTGTGTTAGACAATGCCACTTGTGCCCCCGCGTTTCAATAGGAATGAATTTACGGAGGATTTTGAGCGCTCTCTTGACATCGGACTTCTTGACTTCGTATTCGGTCCACACTGATAAGAGAAAAGCAAAGGCCTTTGTCTGAAATCAATGCATCTCTGTCAAATAAATTTTTTTGTTTTGAGATATGAAAATGCGGTTGTTTTCAGAGCTTGAAAGTGAATTCAAGACAATGGAAACGAGAAAATATGGTGCCCTGACAAAGGATTCCAAAGTGGAGCAGTCGATACCTTTTAAACCATAAGACGAAGAGTTGATTGGTGAGGTAAAGGAATGTAGAATTAATTTAAGTAATGAGAGATGTGGAATGGTAAGGTAAGAATTCCAATGATGGGTCAGAACTATTTTGCGATGGATAGTGGTCTGTTCTGCGTCTGCTTGTATGTGTGCCTGTATATATATATTTATTAATTTATTTAATAGAGTGCTACTGACGGCTCAACGTGGGGGCAAAGTGAAATCGATTATTGTGAGCCATGGCTCAATATCGTGAATTGGTGGATGATTTGGAAAGTTCTTAAAAAAAGGGTGCGTTAGGGAAAAGTAATAGAGCCAGAATTGCCTCAAGATTAAATAAGAATGTTCAGAATGATGTGATTTTGAGTCAGAGGTTGCATTCAAATGTGAGTGCCGTAGAATGAATACTTTGAATATGAATGAGCCAATAGCAAGAAAAATAGTATTTAGCAAAGCTAATATAAGGCGTGTATTGTTTCCGATTGGTAGGCATAAAATCTTGGGACTTTTCACGGTTCCTCTCTGCCATCAAATCTCGCCTTTTCTTATGGTTCCGTTTAATGTAAGATCGCTGTAATTAAACCCGTTACAAGGCTCCCTAATAAGTAGTCCCGAATATTGGCTTTAGGATTGGCCAAAGCTAGTCATGAAATGAAAATAAACTCTTGGAAGGAGGACTTTAACTATACTCGAAATGAATTAAAAGATGATTTTGCAACAGCAGCACAATAGTTAATACTCTCCTCTGTCAAGTCTGAAGTCACTGGATCAATGACTGGCGGTGTAGATGACAAATCGCGCTGGTTAGTTCTGGTCAATCAGAGAGGTGGCGAATGCAAGTAGCTCGTAAGAGCGATTCCACGTTACCTTCACCCCTATCCGAGTTAAGTGCTTTGAACATTTTTTCAACTTTCTAATAGACAATGCAATCACTTAAAAATGGAAGACATTTCGCTATCGCTATGAGTCGTTTATGCTTCCAACATTATAGGGCTTTTGAATAAACTATTCTAAAGGAAATAAGGGCATATCTTTATTGGGTTTTAAGCTTGATAGTAGCATAGTTACGTGCAAAATGCCAGAATGATAAGAAACATTCAGAGGTTTAGTTGCTTTAGAACCAACCGCTACTGATTTGTACTAAGTAGAAATATGAAATAGCAGAACAAATTAATGCTTTCGAAAGCGAAGGTCTTCCGATACTTCTCTAACTCAGCAACTTGACGTGTTACCATCACTCAATCTTGTAAACTTAATCAAATTAAGCTTAAGTTGGACCGGAAGTGGATAAGAACATGCAGATCGTTGCTTTTAAAAAAGTAGTATTTATCTAAATTTTCGCCAAGATGCAATCAAACTATCCCATAATTCTAATGGAGGATATTTTAGCGACCAAATGGCTGATTTCCTGGAATCGCCACAATATTTCATGACATTTTTCACCTGCGATTAAAAAACCCGAACTTCACACACTCATAGGAACTTGGTGCTGTTCACTCGCTGAGTTACTGTGTCCAGACGGACTAGACTTTCGCTGTCGTCTAAACCTATTTATTTTTCTCTACCTCCCAAGTAATTGTGATCTCTGGAAATTTTGCGTATCATCCCTCTGTGATCACCGCATCTACAGTAGTGGTAACCAACAGCAACTACAGACCAATCCATTTGCCATAGTCTCGTATTTAGCAGACTGATAAGATTAAACCTCGCTTCTGTCCTTCCTTTAATCTGTTGCCGTAGTGAAGGCATAGGCTAAAGGCAAACAACTTCAAGGTCCATCTAATTCAACCTTCATTTCAGGACTGTAAAACCTCATTCTGTTTTTTTTCTCTTCCAAATGACAGTCATTGCGTAGAGAGCCGTGCACAGAACCGTTTCTTAGATTAGATTCTCTGCTTAAATTCCATTTTTGGATAGCAATAAGTTAGTTATATCAAATGGTAGGCTTTAGGATAGTTATCATTAACCCTTTAGTTGACTTTGGCCTTCACAGAGGAGTGGAACATCAAATGCCCAAAAGGTCGAAGGGGGGGGGGAGCAGATGAGTGTTTCACGGATGCAAAAGAGACAGAGAGATACGAAGGCAGAGAAAATGTAAGATGATCACTGTGGAAGTGGTGGAATATGACATATAGTTGGGGGTGGTGTTTGTTTGAAGTCAAAAGTCAACTGCCAGTTAATAGACTTTTTTGCCGTATGAGTATGCGTTGCCCAGGGAGAGCCAAGTGGAGGTCAGTCTAGAGTTTGTTAAATCATGAGGTTTCCTCAACAAAAGTCTACATTCAATAGGGTTTTATGTTCTCATACATATAAAATGGTAGAAATGCACAGGCATGCATTTAATTTATGAAAAGATGAGAATGATGAATATTTGAAGTGGAGATAGCACGTTGTCAAAAATATCGTAAAAGGTTGAACCTCACCTCAAATCAATAACACGCTATTGACGAATGCACGTGAACCTCACTGATCCTTAAAGCGAGGAATTCGCCTGAACGCAAAAGCAGCATAAAATAGGGAAAAATCTGGTCTTTAGATGTCTCGTTCTTGCAGTCGTTCAGAGCCTAGTAGCAGAAATGACTCCGTAGAATCGAATTCAGAATGGCCGACAAGAAGGAGTGAGTTGCGTTTGAGAAAACCTATATCTCACTTGCAACGCCTCTCCAAGATGACAATCAAAAAAATAGGCAGAGCTCAACAATTTCTGCATGATTTGAAACTTTCAGTTGGAGTTCTTAAGTCCCATCAAGATCTCGGTCAGCTTTGTGCCACTCTAAATAATCTAATTAATGAAACTCCCCAAGGATTAAGCAATACTCAAGCACTTATCGAAAAAACGGGATTAATTGTCGATTACATTGAGGGCGTCTGTTTCAATTTCTTTGGTGATGGTTCGTTTATTTTTATTTGGCTGATAGCGGAAAAAAAATATTTTTAGATTATGATAATGCAACTGATGTCCGGAATATGAGTAAGAATCATTTTAGTAAATGAATACATTGCTGTTTTTATAATGTATAATAATGATAATAATAAATAATCTATATCAGCTGGGGAGATGACATCTACTCCAAAGAAAAAGTGAGACATTGAAATTGATTTTACGAGAAATTTCTCACCAACTAATAGGCCTAGAGGAGTTCTGGATTTTTCCTCGATTGGAAACGATACGCCTATTAGACCTCCCCCAGTTGCGAGTAGTGCCCAAGATCACCCTTCTGCATACATGACTTCAGATGATAGCGTACATGACAATGGCTCTAGAAGTTTAGGTTTGTTCTAATTGCGTTTCTTAGGCAACTTATGAATTATAGTTCAACGCATAAGAAGACAGCAGGAGTTGAAAAAATGTGTGAATCAGTTTTATATTTTTTGTTTAATATTTGCATAAAATTATGAACAAACTAATTTTTTATTGAAAAAAAACGCTATGTCGAAGATAGGCAAGGAGGCGAATTCGTCCAACTCCGAGGATGTGGTGAATAGAAACGAGGCTTTTAGGTCACTCATTGCTCTATTGCTAGCCTCCTTCAGTGAGGCCTCTTTGGCCTTGGAAAAGTCAAAATCATCCATGGATATGTCAGTGGCGAATATGGACGAATTCGTCCAGAAATATTTACGAAAATAATGGTTTGACTAAGATTAGGATAGCTTAAAATTACCATTTAGGATACGTGGAACCGCTCCTCTCTCTCTCTCTCTCTCTGAAGCAATCAAAATCCCCCCGGAATGCTGATATTGACGATCACAAACACACTCACACACTCTCTCTCTTATTGGTGTTTAATAAATGTGTCAAATCTCTATTCCACTGTGTTTTGGTGTGGCCGTAGTGGATGGAATAGTGCAGACTCAATGGTATAGTCAAACTCCTGGATGATTGACTGAAGTCAAGATTCCCCTCTGGAGACCTCGACGAGGAGAGGTGGCAATGAAACTTTTAGAGAGTTTTGGAGTTGGCCTTTACTAATCAGATACAGATCAGTATAGAGACATGAATTGAGCTTAGTTCACCATCCATTTTGTTGCATCAGTGAAATCATTAGTATTCGACCCGAAAATGGACGATGACGGATGCGAGGGCATAAAGGATGTCGGCCGATCATTTCGGAGAGAATTGTAGTTTAAATTTCGGGATGTGGTTTTAAACAGCCTCCGCTTTATCTCATGCACGCATCAATCTCGACTAATTTAGTCGCCCGCTGTTGCGTACTATGTCTTGTCCGCTTGGAAATCTGGTCAAATGTTTACTGTACTCGTGAATGATTATTAGTTGAATTCGATTTCTCCAATCTGACCCTGAGAGATCACCAGTTGCTTATTCACCACGAATCCCCTTATTATATATATATATATATATATATATATATATCCATTTTTCAATGTGAAAATACTATTTTGTGCAGTATAATTACCTGCCGAGGTCGATAAACCGTCTGCAGAGAGTTGTAAAGCTCGAGTGGTACTAAAATATGTCCATATAAGAAATAAAGCTGCCCCCTCTATAAGTAATTAAGAGGACTGTCGGGTCATTTAATAAAGTGAAAAGGTATTTTCTGATTTGGGAAAAATTCTGCTGTAAAGTGGGGCAGTTCGATACAGTCGTGACCGCGCACACGCACGCACACACACACACACACCTGGCCCCCTAGAGTGTCAGTTGTCAAAACAGCGCAAGTGTCACCATGACGAGCGCAAATGTCAGTAATGGCTACATTGTTACCGAGCAATTCAGACCTATTTATTCGCTTATAACCAAATCAAGTTTAGAGGTCTGAAAAGCGCGGAAAGCTGAAAGAGGCTTACCTTCTTAAAAGGAAATTGCTTACTTCTTAATAGCTTAAGGCGAAATGTGCTTTTTCTAATTGTAAAGTACTTTCACACAGGAACTTACTTAGTTAACCCCTGACTCCAGATATCCGTTCAATTCGCAAACTCAGCTTTGGAAAGAGCCTTCAACGCTAAAACAGGGGACAAAAAAATCCATCACGCGGAGTTCCCCGCAGTGGTAATTTCACTCCAATGCCCTTCTTCGATCTTGACGGAGAACTGGTTGTATTGGCTGGGTGAACCATATGAGTTCACTTTTAATTTAAATAAAAAAATGCCGAAAAATAACCTGTGTAGGCAGAACGAACCACTTATAAAGTCAAATCACCTGCTAAACTTCGAAACACCTTTATTTACTGGTCGATTATGTGAAATAAAATAATACGAATAAAATACACACATGTGCATATAAATATTAAGATTCGTTATCACCAGGGTCTCCAAACAGCACTTCTTTCACGTGCGCGACCCTTAGACATAAGAGTAGCATTCGTTTCTGTGCTTGAAGTTGGGGGTTTGGATGACGAGCCGAATTGTTGAGCAAGTGCATTTACGAAGTTGTGAACAGCTTGAAGTTTCTGCGATTCAATTGTCGTTACTAGAGATGCCATTTCAACTCCTGAATAATTAATGGAAACTGTAGACTCCACAAAGTGGCGCAACTTTTCTTCACATGATGTATAACCCGCCAGGAAATAGGTCCAGGCGCTATTTATCCACTGGATCCAGGGTTTATCTGAAGCAAAAAATAATAAATTGATATTCCTCTTTAACTCGACTGGATAAGGACTATGGATATCATGGCCTAAGCGAGAAAGATTTCACTATAAAGCCATCAATGCATGTACGTACGAGAGGCTGATGATTGTAAATACTGCACTGTAAGTTCTAGAATATCGGCTTTTTCGAGTTTTTCAGCTCCCTACAAAAAAAGAGAACAAAGGAAATAACAGTTTTTTTTCAATAAAAAAAGAAACAACATAAAAGCTTAGAGTTAATTCGCTTATGCATACGCATTCAGGCACCTCGTTGGAAGAATTTTTCCGGGTGGTATATTGAGGCGTTTGTGAATGAAAAGCAAATACCAAGCCGTCAATAGATTTGATTCAAGAGTTTTATCAAGGCAAGTTTGGGGGGGGGGGGTATCGACCTATACAATTTACAATCTCCCCAAATGAAAGACAAGGGCTAAGATTGACTGCATTGCATTGGACCAATGCTCAGAAATGAGAGAGGTAGAATGGAATGGAGGTGTAATAAATCTCAGCCCAGAGTGAGTCGAATGATGGAGAGAATTAATAAAAACAATGTAGCTGGAGAGGGTTGGGGGGGGGGGGGGGGGGGGGTTATAGCTGTTTGTAAGTTCCTTGTGTATCTATCAGAAATCAGTAAAAGTAATTGATTGACTATTAGAATAACACTGAATTATGACATAGTCAACATGAAACCATGCCACACCCTCGTCTCAGCGCCTTTGACAATTCGATTACTGAATATGAGGCAGAAGCCTTCAAATATCTTTTTAACAAAGAAATATGACGCCAGCACTATTTCTATTGATCGGCGTAATTGCTGCACGATCAATAAAAACTTATTGAGCTTGCAGTACTAAGTAAATAGTGATAATAAGAGCAGAAAATTTTTAACACGACAAACACAGCCATACCTGCTTGAGAATAGGTTCTGCCACCAGATGTCTCAGCATTTCCAACGATGCATTTATTCGCTCTCGTCGCTTTTTTTCCATTTGAGGCTTTGGCAACTAGGTTTAAGAAAGGATATGAAATTGAATTAAATAAATAAATAAATTTAAAAGACTGAAAAATAGAGCTTTTAATCCTTGTTCAAATATTATAACTAATCAAATTTGCGCCTCTGCTCTTAATAGTTTAATCAAATAAATACCTTTAAAATTGTATTCACTTTATTGGTAAAACAAACCTTTTCTAGCCCATTGCACTTTCCACCTAATCCACGCCTAGACAGTCGATTTGTGTTGGAAATATGAAATGGCATTGTTCTGTCTGAAAGTTGTGAAAAAGAAGGTTGAACACAAGGTTGCATTTGATGAGACACCGTTGACTGGATCATTTAGCCGCAAAATGAAAATTGTGCGCAAATCACCCCTTCCCACCTATTTGTCCTGAAGTGTTGCGTACGTCTGGCGTAAGCGATACGCTCAAATCTACACGCATGCAACAATATTAACCAATCAGAATTAAGTGCAAGTAATTCTCTGGCAGAAGCGTGACATAGTGCCTTTAGGTAACTTCGAAAAATGGCTAAGATGAATCTGGCTTTGAAGATGTGAATTGAATAATTAATTGAATTAAAATTCATTAGTTTATAGGTCGCTATTTGTAATATTAAGAAAATTATAAATTTTTCAATTGGGATTGGAAGGCCTGTTCGTTTATTTGCGGCTTATTGCTAATATTTTTTTAGAAATATATAATATATATCAAAATGTTGCGTTTTTTTCAATTCTAACAATTTTTAAAGCATCTACTTAAATTAATTTCAATCCCGAATAAGCGACACTTTCCGAGCACGCATTCTGCGCAGGGAATTTGCATTCGGATAAGGTTGGACATTTCTTTCGCCTTTTGCACAGCAAAAAAACGTTGAAGTCTTCACGAAGGAACACCTGACAGATCAGCAAATAAATGAACGCGAAAACGCTTCTAACAAAATATTTGCCAATTTCATTAGTAATAATAGGTCAAATATATTTATTTATTTCAAATGGCAGGAGTTTTGATAGATATCATTACCATTTAGGTGACTTCGGGCTTCACAGAGGGAAGGTTCATCAAAGTAGCAGAAAGTCGAGGGGTGGGGAACAGAAGAGTGATTCACAGATGCAAAGAGGCAGACAGACACAAAGGTAGAGAAAAAGGTAAGGTGAGTACTGTGGAAGGGGTCGAATATGACAACCAGAGGGGTCGTGGTAGTTTGAAGTCAGAAGTCAAATGCCGGTTAATAGACTTTTGCCGCATGAGTATACGTTGCCCAGGGTGCACCACGTGGAGGTAAGTCTATCGCACACCCCAGGTCAAATATATAAATCTACGTAGTCACATGCAAAGTAAGAACAGCACTTTCGAGGGTATAGTATCTAAGTGTACAAAATTTTTCACTTCAATGATCTATGAAGACTCAAGATGAATGAAATTTTTGCCACATGAGTCTCATTCGCAGAGTTGCTTCCTAGTGGTCTTCACTAAGCGCATAAAAGACATTCCCTTAATTCCAATGAATCAACTTATTTCTTAATTCCCTCTTTATGCCAATAATGAAGATAATTTATTGGTTCAATATGAGGTAAATTCCAAGATGTGTAACTATGACAAGCATATGACTGA